CGTCTCGCATTGATTCTTCTTCCCAAAAATCACAAATATTCCAAAAATATTCTCCATCCGTTTTTATCCCGTTTGGACTCCGTTTAATATGGGGTTTTTGAGAAACATAAAACATGCAACAAACAGGAACTGGCACTGGGCACTGGATCAATATGTTAGTCCCAAAAATAGTATAAAAAGTTGCCAAAAGTATATGAAAGTTGAATAATATTTGCATGGAACAATCAAAAATTATAGATACGACGGAGACGTATCAGTGTTGTAACTAGAATTCTTTCTACATTGTTACATTTTGGCTATAATATCTAGGTTGGTTTCAATCATATTGATTGAACATCCTAAATCAATTCCAATTTTATTTGCCATGAACAGTAAAGAAGCATCATTGCAATTTAGATCAAGATTCTTACCATAATTATCCTTGGCAACAGCTCTTTCTTTGGCTAGTTCCTCAATCTTAGCATCTTGCTTGTCTGCCAACACATCTTCTTATCTGCTCTTCCAGCATAGTGTCACTAGCTTCTGCGTCATTATTCCCTGTTTTTACTCCCACTTTTGTTCCAAAGGACATTGACTCCTGACTAGCATTATAATCCATAGCCTCATTGTAGTTGTTGAGTTCATCATCCTTTCTATCACTATTTAGATTCTTCAGTTCCTCCTCGGTCATATCTTCCAGATCTTTTTCACTAGTTTCCCACATCTCAATTTTCTCAACGCATCTATCAATCACCCCTTACTGTTTGTTGATAAGCTCCAATAGATTTTTCTTATCTTGCTCTAGCTCCATGATTCTTTTCTCCTCTTTCAACCTGAGAGCTTTTTGTCTTAACTTGTCCTCTTCCAGATCTATCACTTTTTTCATGATTATTCAAATTTGACTCCACTTTTTTCCTAGCCTCTATCTCCAGGTTTTGTTCTTTTTGCCTCATTATAATCTCCTCATTCTTCTTCTTCAGCTCCTCAAACTGGGCCAATCCTAAGCTTCCCAGTGAAATCATCTCTTTAGTTCCTATAGCATCATCACCATCTCCTTTGTGTCTTTTCCTCATTTCCCCTTCACTAGTGTCTGCATCTGTTCCCTCAATCACCTGTCTCTTATGCTCTCCATACCATTCCATTTCCACCACACTCTCTAGATCTGGTATAATCATGTAGATCATCATCTCTTTGTCAGTGATCTCTGTGTATGATGGTATTTTCTCATAGTCCCCGATCCCCACCTTAGCTCTGAACTTATCCTTAGTGATTGTGTTCATATCAATTTCTAGCACTGGTCCAAGAGTTGCAGCCACCTCACACATCCCAAAAAAATGTCTGAAACACTCAGGAACTTTCCCAAACTGAACCCAAACTGTATGAAGTTTACCAATAGCATGTGAGTCAAAGCTCCACCCCCTCACATTGATAACAGCCTCTGATCCTAGTAATGTGAAGTCTTTGCACTTGTTCAATTCCATTAATCTCCCTTTGTTTGGAAATCTGACTAAAAAGGCATTTTCTCCATGTTTTTTGCATCTCCATTGCCAGTTCCAGTTGAACATATAATGCATTTTGTCCATCAACTATGTTTCATTAATCTCTCCAGACATCACTGTAACTATTGCCATTGGGTTTGGATTTTCCACTTCCAGAGCTTCTTTGGCACTCTGGACCAGCAGCACTCCATGCCCCCTAGCTGCATATCCCACAAACTTGGGAACATGTTTTATCTGCTTCAACCAGTTACAATCATCGGTAATGTGATTCTTTTTTCCACAAACCACATAGTGTCCAAGAGTGCAGTCTTTTATCATGTGGCTTATATCTTTGCACTTATTACAGAACACACTATTCATTCCTCCACTTCCTGGTCTTCCACCCTCCTGAGTATTCCTGATGTTATATTGCTCTCTGTCATTGGCATTGAAACCTCTCTGCCCCTGTGTTCCTCCTCCACTATTTGTCATCAGATTCTCTCTCCCCTGCTTCACTTGATTTCTGGGCTCTGAAGTTGTCTTGCTTCCATCACTAACTCTGAGTTCAGCACCTCCCTGAGTCTGGCCAGCACTAGTCCCATCTCTTATGTTAGCCTTATTGCCAGGAAGGAGGTTACCTTGTGAGATCTGCGCTAGAAGAGCATTGAACAACACATGTTGTTGTTGCATCAAATCCTGACCCCCTTTTCTTTGTAAGCCAGTGAGATCCTCTTGACCAGCTATTGTCTCCCCCTCCTTCCCTTTGTTCTTGTTGATTGCTTGATCTCCCTCCTCAGTTCCTCCTCTAGGGATTGGATCTTGCCTTGTTTACCATCTGTCTTGATTTCTCCAGTTCTCTCTTCCTCGAGCAAGCTCTCTTCTCTCCTCCCAATGTGTCTGATTTCTGTGGTAGTTCTCCCCCTCTTCTTTTCTCATGTGCTGCCAACCATCTCTCTCCCCTCTGTTGAATCTTCCACCTCCTCCTCCAAATCTTCCTCCAAACCTATCCATGTCTCTATCTCCCCCCAGTGGCGCACTAGTAAACCCTAGTTTCGGCTCCCCTTCCTCTCTGCCCTTTATATAGGGTTCAAGACTGAAGGTTAAATGGGAGAAGGAACTAGAAAGCGCATTGTCATTTCCCGTTTTCTCCTCACCTGGGCCTGAATGATCTCTAAACGGGCTCAAATCCACGGCCCAATTTTCCAGAGTGTCATGAGGCTCTTTTTTACAAGTTATTTTTTTGTGGCTTCACTGTCAATGACAGTATTGATTTCATAGTTAGAAACAACCAAGATATCGACATCTAACCCCATCTCAGACCAAAAGTCTGGTATCTCATTTTTCCCTTTCGTTTTCTGTATGACCATTTTACCATCCATAATATCTCCATTACTTTTAGTAATATTATCAAATTTTCCAATCACTTTTTTCCTCATTTCATCTGATACTCTTTTTTTAAGTTTTTGTTTATCCACACATTTCCCATCATCATCTAGCTTTTTCTTCCTATTGCCTTTGCTATGACTAGTAGCCATTTTGCTATGACTAGTAGCCATTTCTCTTTGGCATGAATTTAGAAAATATTTCTGAGATATGGTAAGTTTACCTCTTGGATCTGGTGAGTCGCCTTCCTCCTCACCAGACTCCTCCCCGGCCAGCAGCCAGAAGTGGCCGCCAGCAGGGGAGAAGCCTAGGGCTTCGCCGCAAACCTGGCCGCCTCCTCAAGACACGGCGACCCACGGAGGAAACGTGGGGACCTGCGCAGGGTGTAGATCTTTCCCTTCATCTTCTTCTCCCTCCGCTGCTTTTCCATCGCCCTCTGAGTCGAGCTTGCTCCCAGATCTCCCTGCGCCACATCCGACTCCTCCTCGGTGTCTTTGATCTGGATCGGTACCCAGCAGGTCCCTGGGGTGGGGATGGCCATCACAGCTCCCACCACGAACTCCTCTGGTCCGGTCGGGAAGCGGCGACGTGAGCGGAACGGCCACCACTTCTGCTTCTGCGCTTGGTTGTCTCCCTCTGTTTCCTCCATGGCCCAGACCAGGGCGGCCATGGAGCTCACCGGCGCACCATACAGGATAGTCATTCCGTTGGGAGTGAGCCGCTCGTCCTCCTCCACCGACAGGTTACTGAAGACGGATTTTGCCGCCCTCCGCATCTCCTTCCTGGTCGAGAACCAGGAGACGACCTCTCGCGCCCTCTCCAGCTTCGCGTCGTCTCCGCTCGCGAGCTCCATCTTCATCCTCCAGTCTGCCATCTTCGCCGGAATCGCTCCTCTCACGCGTTGGATGTGGATGCGGTGGGGTGTGGTGGTTGGGGAATTCTGGCTTCGGGTGTGTCGACTCGCCTTCGGAGGTGCCCCCCCCCCCCCGACGCATTCATGGTGGTCGCTCACCTCGAAATCCACGCCGCCGCTACCAATTTCCAACTCCACCGCGTCTCCAACCCGAGCAACGTGACACGGCATCCAAACTACCGGACTCCATGAAATTTCCTCCCGAGCACGCAATCTCCGACTGTCAACAATCCTATCATCTTCATCTAGCAACAGAATCCTCTGAATCTCACCTTGGATAAGGAGAGATCCCCTCTGGTAGCATAGCAATCCCGCTGCCAAGAGATTCGAGATGTACAGCTCTCCTCGCTCCGATCATCAGCCTCTAGGGGCTCGCCGTCGCGCGAGCTCTCATCCCCGTGGAGGCCGTCGTCGCCCGCCGCGCCGCCTCTCTGATCGCCTTTCTGTTCGCCGCTCAGGTTGCGTGTCACGCGAACCATCCTGGCCGCCATGTGTGGCTGATCAATCCTCCTGATTTCTTATGTATTGAACGACTTGTGGTGTTTGAATAAAATGGAGTGTTTGATCCTAAAAAAACATACAACAAATGTACAAGACTTCTTAAACCAGCCTTAGACAGTCACATATGCTCACGTGGACGTTTGTACTTATCTCAAAAAAAAAAAGTGGACGCTTGTACAGGACAGTCTCCTCCTGCCTCTGGAGCTCATCCCGGGCGCCGCTCACCAGCACCCACACCTCGCAGATCTTCTCGACGGCGCTTTCAGTTTCAGAGGTCGACAGCGGTTGACGCCCGCGACGTGGGTGGGCGCCATCCTTCCAGTGGTGATCGTCTCTTTCGCCGGTGGTGATCGTGGAGGTACTCCTTCCTTCCGCGGGCTTTCACCCTAGGCACGACGGCTCCGTTCAGATATATGGTCTGGTCGCAGGTTGGCTCCGAAGGCGATCATCTATCCTCCTGAGGCATCCCCCGTAGGCCAGGCTCTCTTTGCAGGTCGGATGTCTGCGGAGGTTGCCATATGAAGCAACTGACTGGGAAAGAGGTAGCTAGCTAGAGGGGGAGCATCGTCATGACATGCGGGTTCTCCTGTGTTGAAATCAGAAAATGGGTTCAGAAAAATCACCATTGAGATTCTAGGATTGTACGTACTAGGCTACTGGGCTTAATTAGTTCAGTACAAATGATTTGAAAGGAAATATGGACTAACAGAAATAGTGAAATTTTGAGCGGAAAAAGGCCATAAAAGTTAAAGCATAATTGAGGTTCTTACCACTTTTATTATGGAATTGAGTAGGCCGTCAAAGTTGCAGCTGCTATTATTTAACGCACCCTGACCCTGCAGCTTTGAAATTCCAAAATCATACACATCAGTCTGTTCAGGCACAATAGCACCATCATAGCTAAAATCTCCATTGTTCAGTCTTTGGTCTTGTCTCGTGCCATTCATTCTATGTCTAGAGTTGCTTGCAACTCCAAACTGCAAGTATTTCGAATGTCTGTCGGTATCATGAGGAGGGAGCAGCATTGTACTACCAGAAGAACTAGCTCCACACCTGCCACTGCTGGCTGCTATGAGGCTCTCAGAAGGGCAAGCACCAACAGTCATTCTTTCTGAAAATATCCCCTTTTGGTCCATCCCTTGTTCTTCAGCGACAAAGCTAGCATCCAGCTTTGTCGCGACAGCGCCGTGGAACGAGATGTGCAACGGTAACTTGTCAACAGAAAATCCATCACCAATTGGAAGAGCACCCTGCTGAGACCTTTCAAGCAATCCTGAACTCGCAGTTTGTATTCCTATTGATGGATGGGCTCCAACTTTGACATGTGGAGTGCACTCCAAAAGATCTTCTGGTGGCAGTGAACTGCCTGTAATTCTCTGGAATGTGCCAGGCATAGTGTTGGCCAGAGCACCCCCGGAAAAGACAGAGCACAGATCACTGGTTTCTTGATGGATCCACTCCTGCTGGAGCCGGGGCTGCCCAAGCGACGATGCGGTCAAGCCTTGCGTTAGATCTGCGTGTTGATTGTCTTGTAAGCTCACAATGTGAAACTTATTTGTGTCGCCAGCGCAGTGGCTTACTTCGCCATTGTTGCCAGCACAGTGAATTCCCTTGGGAGAAGCAAGGTCCTGAAGCCCAAATGCTGCTGCACCAGCACCACTCACCAGTCCATGTGGATTAAAAGATGGAGGAGCAGCAGAAGGGGCAAAGGGTTGATGATAACTATGAAGTCCTTCATATGCTCCCATGTGCATAAAGGGGTCTCTGCCTCCAAAGGCAGCGGCAATGCTGGCTTGTTGTGATGCCACAGCACTTAGCCGTCTGAGGTATAGCCTGTACTTCTGCATTGGCACATATATAGTCAATCGCAGATCCCAATTGCATACGTTTCATGCATGAGATATATAATCATAAGAGTTCTAGAAAATAAGATCTACTCCCTCTGTTTTATATTAACATCTGACGAATTTTCTTAACTACAATGAACTTGTACAGCTGTACTACCGAAATACTCCTACTGCATTAAACTTGTACAGCAGTACATCTTTCCCTACTAATAAAGCACGGAGTGCTTCTGGTCGTACGTCGTCGTCACTTTTGCAAAAAAAACCCTCCGTTTTTGAGTATTCAACCCGCAGTCCCTTTTTAAGCTGCTATCTCAGAAAACGTTTCGTTATTACAAAAAGAACCCTGCCGTTTTGAGAATTCAACCCGCGGTCCCCCTGGAAAGAAAAAAAACTAGCCACACGAACGATCCATGAACCCCAATCTCATCCACCTCCAGCGCCGCCACGCCCTGCAATGCCGCCGCGCGCCGCCGGACTCCGCCGGAACTCGACCCGCCGTCGCGCCGCCGCTCAAGCCCAGCTTCTGGATCGGGTCAACGCGGTGGCTCGAGCGGCTGGGGGCGGCGCGGTGGCTCGAGCCAAGGCGGCGGCTGGAGATTGCAAGGGCCGGATTCATGAGCGGCAGGGGCTGGGGAGGCATATCCAGAGGCGGGCGGCGAGGCGGGGGTCGCCGGTGACGACGACGAAGGCCGGATCGTGGATTCCCGGGCGAAAGGAGACAGGGAGGTGAGGGGAAGGAGAAGGAAGAAAGGAGGGATGGTGCGGCGACCTAGGCAGGAGCTCGCCGGAGCCGGGCGACGACGGACGACCGCGGGAGACAGGAGGATCCGACGCCGTTGCTACTGCCTCCCTGGTATTCCTCCTCTCACATCTCTCGCCTTGACGTCATCTGTTGCGCCGCCCAGGCCTCGACTCCACATCACCGGCATCTCCAACTCAGTACTCCTGCCACTGCACCCAGCGGCTCGTCGCCATGACCGGATCCGGCAAGGTTCCTCCAATACCCACCCTCTCCCTCATGCCACACATGCTATTTTACTTGGAAAAGTCATTGCTCACGTTTTGGATTTTGGCACTGCTCTGTTGTCGTGCTTCGCTTCAGTTCTTTGTTGGAGGAACTTTAATTGTTTTGTTTCGATTCTTCTTCGATCTTAGCTCTCAGGTCTCAATATATGCATTACAATATGTTTGTTGTCTGTAGGGATGGAGTGAAGAAATTGGATTGGGGTCATGGAATAAATCATACGAGGATGCAACTCATGTTCTTGTAGGCAGTCATTCAGATTTCTTAACTCTGTAGCAAAATCAGCTGCCACAGTTCTGTGTTGCCGGCCATAGAAACCTTTCATGTATCCCCTCTTGTCGCTTCTCTGCAGCGGCATCTCAGTGCCATGGTGGCGGCGCTCCTGCCCCAACGACCGTAACTGCTCCTCACGATCTGTTGTGTCTCGGCAGTCCCAGCCACTCCTCCCTAGCGAACTTGTGCTCTTCCTTTGGCTTGCCTTCCAGAGGATCTGCACCGCTTCAGTTATAATCAGCAGGGGCCTGACGTCCAACCTCGGCCTTCATGTTGGTTATTGTAGCCTTTATGTATACCTCTGTCAGATCGCTCACTATTTTGATAGGAATTCGCTGCCCGGTGATGGTTTGTTCCTTCCTGACGGATTGTCGCACACGTTTACATGATTCGGGTGCGCACATAGGCAAGCAAGGCCGCCGTGGTTCAGGCATCTGTTAGTTATCGAAAAAATCTAACCACCGCAGGAGAGGAGGAGCTGCAGATTCGTAGTGTACGTGATGTCCCTACCAGATTGCTACAACATTCATGCAGGTACGCTTCTTGCAGCTTGTTCAGATTTATTTGATGTCCAATGCTATATTATGTGCATCTCTTATTTCGCTACGTTGTTCTTTGATGAAGTTGTGCTTATTTTGCATTGTAGTTCAGGCAATGTTTAGATAAAATATGTCCCTAGATTACATAGTATGCATGCCCTCTGTTACTTGCTGAATGTCTCTTGGGTAACTAAAAATGTTCAGAATAAGCTAAATTTTAGAAATTCTTCATGGATTATGATTGGCAGTTATATGCCACCAGATTTCAAGACTGCTGCTTGAACAGTTTGTTATCCATGAAGCTTAGAAGTGTTAGACGGACTAAATTTGCTATCATTTGCGACCATTTTTTCCCTAAGGCCATCAGATCCACTGACACACTTTGCTACCCTAAGGGAGTCATGTTACAGTTTTTGTGGTCAATCACCCACCAGTCACCACAAATGCAAATGGTTAGTTTATTACAATACAGATTTACTGCTGTTTATTTGTATATGAGATTTTCTCAGTTTCACTTCTCACATGATATTTACAGCTTAATCAATTCTCAATCGACCTGCTTTGGTTGTACTTTTTTATTTGCTTTGTTCAGATTTATTTGATGTCCAATGCTATATTATGTGCATCTCTGAAGAATAATACGGAAACTGATTGTGGTTAGTATGTCCTGCAAGATTGCTTTAAAAATGCCTCAATGCAGCCTTCTGATTCATATATATGATGCATTTAGTTCCTTCTCCATTTATTATACACTGTACTGTTTTGACATGCCCAATTATCAAGTACAATCATTTTAAGATATATTACTATACCCCCCCCCCTTCTAAAAAGGTATATTGCTATAATGTAGTAGGGCGCTCATTTGATTCACTAAACAAACTTTAGACAATTGGTTGAGCTTCGGCATATCTGCACCTATGTTAGAATTGGATCAAACTCCTACGTTTACTAATACAAATTTTGCCCAAACAAATTGATTATTTTGTCTAACATATATTGTTGCTAATGCGTTCATGCTTTCCTCAGATTCTGATATGCTGAAAAGTTTGCCAAAGTTGAGTCGCCGGGAACTTAAAGTAGCGCGTGAGGATTTTAGCACCATAATTGGCTCAACTCCGGAGATTGTAGTCTACAAAGGAACAATGAAGGATGGACCTGAGGTTTTTGTCATATCATTATGTGCCTTTGAAGGTCATTGGACTAGCGAGCATGAGCTCTTTTACCAAAACAATGTAGTTCGTTTGTCTAAAATTGTGACTCAGAAACACCTTTTAACTCAAATAATAAATAAATAAAATGGGATGAACATTGTAGGTTATGATCTGGCAAGGTTGAGTCATGAGAACATAGCAAAGTTTCTGGGCTATTGCAGAGAGAGTGACCCATTCTCGAGGATGTTACTCTTTGAGTACGCATCAAATGGGACCCTGTACGAGCACCTACACCGTAAGTCTATCTCTTCAATTTCGTTACGACAGAAATATTTTGCATATTCTGTGCATTGTAATTTGATCTCATTTGTTTTCTTCCTTTAGATGGAGAAGAGGCCCAATTCTCTTTGCTCAAACCAATGAAAATAGCCATCAGCATCGCCCAAGGTTTAAGGTATCTGCACACCGAGTCGCAGCCGCCTTTCGCTATATCAGAGCTGAACTCCAATTCAGTATACGTTATAGAAGATTCTACCCCCAAGGTACTTGCATGGCTTTTCTGTACAAACTGAACTTTGAAATCCACTTCAGACAATTGTTCATGACTTGACAGAAATCATTCTTATGAGCAGGCTGACGACGTTGTCTACTGAAGCCCCACCAGCGACGCGACGGGAGAGCTCCGGCCTGTACGTGGGTGTGGGAAGACAGATCCGCATCGCCAGCCTACACAAGGCCATGTCAACGCCTCGACGCAGGGTTCATCATCCGTCTTCGTCGGGTAAGCAAAGCGATCCACCTTTCCTCTTTCTCATCAGATCCATTTTATTGTGATATTGCATTTAAGTCAACCAATTTTTATGATTCTTTCGGTGTTAAAGAAAATGGATTTTTACCTGAATAAATTTCGTGTATAGATATGTAGAGGATGAACTCAACAAGCGGATCTTTCAAGGTTAATTAGCCAAGTGGATCTTTCAAGGTTAATTAGCTTTGCACATTTTATTAAATAGATGCAGTGGCATAGCACCTTCAATATCATGCTTGCACTCACATGTTTTCCAACAGCACCATGAATGCTGCCCAGAATTGCCATGCCTTCCGCTTTCGCTATAAGTTCCTATGCTGCTCCCTGCCCCCTCCTCTTGTCACGTGTGTTGTTTCCCTTGTCATCAGTGAGCTCTAGAAAACACAACTGCAAGGTACAGAATAGTTGCCACTTAGTTAGCATTTTAGTTAATAGTGTAGACATGTTAGTAACACTATAATGTTGGACAATAAATGAATTCGACAACATCCGAACGAACTTATCTTGCTTCCAAGAATAGTAAAATCATCTTTAATAATTTCCCTGATTTTGCTTATATTCATGTTTCTTAACATGTTTAGAATGTTGTTTTCTCCAAAATGCAGCGTTTACCTTCCATTTGGAGCATAGGATGCATTTTTTCATCATTTGCTGATTGAAAAAACCATTTTTCTGATAAAACGCAATCCATCAGTTAAGACTTAATTAATTGCCTTCTAGACACACCTTCAAATATATAAAAGTTCTCTGATAAGGTAGTCGTGCGAAGACTGTATTTTTGGTTTACATTGTTAATGTTTTCAGTGACCACAAATTTGACTTTCTTTTTTGCTTCTTTTCAGCTTTCAGGTTCTAAATGAGAAGGTAAGGATGTACTTGAGCTGCATGAGAAGACCCAGTTCCATTATCTCAGAAGCCAGAAGTTTCCCATTTAATATCTTTGGTTCTAAAATTTGTTTAAGAAAATGGCCATTTTGCTATTAGCACCACGATTATGTGTCAATTGTAGATTCTTAATTGTTTAGAATTATTTTATATGTTTGATTCCTTCGGTTCATATTTATTCAACAACAAAATATTTTCAAGATTGGTCCGTTTGAGGATCAAACTTCGAACATGTGAATTGATGTGGCATCAAGCTAAGTCCGTTGATACATTGCTATCCTTTTTTGCTTTGCACAATTAATCTTGTCACTAGAGATGTATGTAAATCCTCTAGCTTTGCTTATTTTATCTTTTTATTTCAGCTTATAGAATATCGTGCCATGCGTTCACAAATTACATGGTCATGTGGGTGGATTATTTCTCCCGTTGCAACGCACGGGCATTGTTTCCTAGTACTACTAATTTATGTCAGATCTAATCTACTAGTCTACACGGTTGGGGAAGGAATAACATAAGCAAGCAGCTGTTTATATTAGATCAGTCTTGCTATATCCGTGAGATCTTACGTTGAAATCCGTGCAAATTTTTTCTTCTGTTTTTTCTTTTTCTCTTTTGCATGTTATGTCACTTGACTAAGACTTGGTTAAATCTCGGTCGACTTAGACCTAGCCACACCCATATTAGATATCTCCTTCAGGTTTTCTGAAAGATTCAGTATAACTGAATTGAATGTTCCATGCATATGTTTTGTTTCCAAACCACTGTGCTCTGCAACTAACAGGTGTGTCGATACTAATAAATACAATAAGGGGATAAGGAATCTGTAGTCTGTAAATAAGGACACATTTTCAAAAAAAAAATGCTCAAAAGTTGGCCCTCTTAATTTGACACAGGAAAACAAGGACACTTTGCAGAAAAATTTCCCCAAAAGTTCTGCGGAAGTTTTTCTCTCTGTGCATCACATGCTCATGAATCATGAATGGAAGAGATAACACTCGAATAGTGAAAGGTGACGATGGAAGTAAATGCCATGGCACCGTACCTGCAGATGACTCGCGACATTTTCCCTGGTGAGCTTCTCGACGTTCATAAGCTCGAGTACTCTTTTAGGTACAGCCTCTGCACCAATCAGCAAGAGAGAAAGGACACAAGCATAAATGGGTCTGCAAGAACATTTAACAGAAAGCAAAAGGCAACGTGGTGACTGGTGAGGTGTTTTTTCTTACTGTCGATCCCGAGCTGGTTGACGGCAGCGACGAACTTCCGGTGCAGCTCCACTGACCACACCACCCTCGGCTTCTTCGAGGCCGCGGCGTTGTCGTTGTCCTCGCCTTCGTCTTCCTCCTCGTTGTGCAGTTCCTTCCTCTTCTTGCTGGCCCTGTTGCTCTGGTCAGACGACCTGTCACAGGTCGCCTGGCCGAGCCGGTGGTACGAGTCCCTACTGATCTCCTTGCAGAAATCAAGATTGTTCGGCTCACGGTTGCTGAATTTTCTCCTCACAACGTGCTGCCACACGTTCCGGAGCTCTTCGATGCGAACCGGTTTTAGGAGATAGTCACAGGCACCATGAGTTATCCCCTTGAGCACAGATTTAGTCTCTCCGTTCACCGATAACACTGCATGAGTTGAATGGTACGTACTTCATTAGCACCCATCCATATTTTAACGTAACACATGGGACTTCATTAGCATTACTCAACAACAAGAAGTGCCATGATTATAGAGGAACTTGTGGACTTACTGATGACGGGGAGGTCCATTTCAAGCCCCACGAGCTCGAGGAGCTTGAAGCCGTCCATGTCGGACATGTGGACGTCGCTGATCACCAGATCAAACATGTTCTTGTTCTCCCTTAACAGCCTCAGTGCAGTAGCAGCCTGGTTGGTGGTTGTTACTGTTAAAGAGACAGCAAGCAGGTGCTCTTATATCAGTTTACAGTTGTTGAAACTTGAAAGCAGAGGATGCATATAAGCTAACATATATATTACATTTATGTCTATGATATTGCAAGAGTGTTAAAACATCTGTAAAATTTATGTCTGTGATATGCATTTCAGAACATGGCAGATTGTTTTATACTCTGCATGTGACAGCCCTTGCAGTTTCAGAAGCATTTTAGATTGTTTTATACTAGTAGTAATTACTAGTTCACTATATAGTACTGTACAATGCAAATAGCAGAGCAAACTCTTTGGAACAGCATAAACAACATCAGATGACTGATAAGTGAAACTAGAATTAACTAGCTGCAGGTAATATGGCTGCAAGGGTTGTCACATGCATATGACGACCCCGCAAAAAAAAAACTGCAGGTAATATGGCTTACAACACAATGAAGTTTCTTATTTAAAAGAAAGAAGAGAATGAAGTGCAAGCAGGCACTGACCATGATACTGGCAGCGCCGGAGGAGGACCTCCAGAACCTTGAGGCACACGGGGTCGTCATCGACGGCGAGGACCCGCATGCCGACGGGGAACTGATCCCTCTCCCTCTCCCTCTCCATCAACCCCTTCCTGCCCTCCATCATCATGTCGTCCAAAAGCATCCCAACCTCTCCCAATTCAGAGCAACTAGTACAATGGAAGCACCTCCTACCTAACCCTATAGGCAGCAACTCCCAATTGACCCAATCCCGAGCAAGAACGAGGCCTAGGCGAGCACAACCGAGCCAACCCTGAGAAGCTAATGGCGGGTAAGGAACCTAGAACACAACGCACCACCTGAACACAACAGAGGGGAAAGCTAGAGCCCCAAACAACCTAGAACCGAAATTACTCCGGGAAGAAGAAAATATCAGAGACGGGAGGAGAGGATCAGGTGGATTTGGATTCCGGCACACCGGCGGTGACGAGATGGGAGGAGAGGCAAGAAGTTGAGAAAGCAAAAGGCCAGAGGACCAAGCGGGACAGAGGAAAAAAGAAAGGCAGAGACAGACAGTGACACTCTGGGTGACCAAGGGAGCAAGCAAGCCCTGCCCGTGCTCTCAGCTCAGCTCAGCAAGCAACCGAGGCAGGCAAAGGGAGAAGATGACGAGGAGGAGGAGGAGGAGGAGGAGGAGGAAGCAACCAAACCACCGCAGGAGCAGCACCAGCAGCAGCAGCACGCTTGGTGAGGTGGGGAGGGTGTTGTTTGGGGAGGTGGAAGGGGCGAGCAGTGCAGAGCGAGATGGCGATGGAAAGCAAAGTTTTGGACTGTTGGTGGCTGATTTTATAGGGGGTCAGTCAGAGTGGGAGTGGTGACAACTGACAAGACTTGCAAATGATGCAAGACTACGAGAGCAGCCGTCGGACCCACACAGGCCACAATCTTCCAATGGCATGGCAGTTGGGGGAGCTTGCTTGCCATGGTTGTTTTTCACTCATGGTGATCTCTTTTTTTTTTAGAATCATTCATGCTGCTGAACTGAAAGCAAAAAATGCAAAATGATGATGCGAGAGAGAGAGAGAGAGAGAAGAATATCGAATATTAACTATGTGAACAGTAAATTCAAAAACAAATACTAGAAAATTCAAAAAAGTCTTTTTTTGTCAACCAAAATAATCAATTGCGCGACGTCCCGGCAACATTTCATGGTGTTCAGACATCTGAGGAGCTCTTGCAACAAAGCAAAATATGGTCTTAACAATGCGTTTTTTAAACTTTCTCACATGCCTGATTTTTTTTACTGAGGGCTATTCAAATGTCCAAACGCCATCAAATTTGACATTGACATTATACACTCGAGCAACATGCATGCCAAAAAGTTTGAATATTTTGCTGTTTTTTTATTTTATTAATGTCCATGCTCGAGAGCTGAATCGCTGCATCGGAAGAGTTCTCTGTAACACTAAGCTCCCCATTTTAAAGAGCACACATTAAATTGAGGTCTCCAATTAGACTTGGGTCACCCGTTTTTGACCGGGTCAACAATTTCTTAAAGCTTTCTCATTCAATTCTTATACAATATACGCTATGCTTCCTAATTTTTAAGGCCTCATAGTTAATTAAGGTAATAAATTTATAATTGGGTCAACCAATTTTGACCAGGTCAACACTTTCTCAAGCTCACCGATTCAATTATTTTAATTCACTATGTTCCCTATTTTAAAGCCTTTTCATTCAATTGAGGTACTCAATTTTGGATTTGCTTTACAATTTGACTGGGCCAACGATTTTTTAAATCAATCAGCAGCAACTGGCCTATAAAGACATATCAATCCCGCGCACCATCCCACCATCTAAAAAAAAAAGCATCACCATGTGATATTGTAGCACCAATATAATAGTACATGCGATCACCGACATAGAAATTTCGCCACGTAAATATAAGTTGGTCAGCGGATAACACAGAATCACACCATGAAAACCCCACCAAATAAGAGTGTTTTAGATGAAAGTAAAACGCGCTCTATCATCTCCCCCACCCGCCAAACTAAGCATTCCATCAGTTCGAAATTATAAGGGGTACTAGTTTTGTACAAAGTCAAATTTCTTTAGCTTTGAGCAAGTTTAGAGCAAAAATATCGACATCCACAATATTAAACAAAAAAGTATGGAAATTCATTTCATGATGAATTAAAAAATACCGATTTGATATTACTGATTTTGATATATTTATCTACAAATTTGATCAAACTTAAAATATTTGACTTTTCAAAAAAGTAATACATCTTACATTTTAGAACTGAGTTATTTTTTTTAAAGAAACCCACAACCACAACGGCGTAGCAAAGTGCGTCCAACCCCTTCTAGTATATACTACTCCTATCCAGTGGTCATGGGGAAAAGTAGATTGAAGGTGCTCTCCGCTCACTGAGTGCTATTTTGGGCTCAACACAATATGGTACTGCACTTTGTCTGGCTGAAAGCGTCAAACTAATCTTGTTAGATGCATGGAAAGCACTCCGTTGCTGTCGTGTGATGCACACAAATGAAACTACTATAAGGAACGCCTCAATGTTTAATAATAATTATCTAACTATTAAAAAACATATTTAAAAACTCTAAGGCATCATAATTGATTGCCATTACTTATGGGTGGGGCAAGCTCTTCTATTCTCGTTCATGGTTTCTCCATTACCCAGTTGATCTTCCTCCCGCAACTCTAGCATAGT